TGTACAGGCGTGTTCACACACACACATATATATATATGTATATATATATATACGCATACATATACATATACACACAGAACAGGATTGATATACTTACTGACAGATGTACGCAGGTGCTGCACGAGATGCCATAGGAGGGTGCATAATTTCCGGCAAGGCTTTTTGTTTGCATGCGCTGGCTTGCCGACTGCCCCCTCACAATCCCGACAGCACATTGGGCACCGAGTGCAGGGGCAGCCGCTGACTCGCTATCCGCGGGCACTGGCTCCTGCAGGCGGGTTTTGGGATGAAAGCTTTCAGCTCCGCAGCCAGTGCTTCCTTCCAGGAGCAGGGTCGCCCCAGAAGATGACGTGCCAGATGGCCCTTCCTGGGCAGAATGATGTGAGCGCGCCCCAGGGCATCTCTTCGCAGCCTAGCTGTACAAAATAGCCAGGATGCTTCTTAATTCCCTCGTGCTCCCTTGTTCGTGCTGTCCAAATTTGAGCCGAGACCGTCTGTCGCTGGGGTTCGCGAACGAAGATTCCATAAGCTTTGCCTGTGGTTCGATCATCAGATTGTAGATCGTGTTGTAGATTGTAGAATGTCGTAGGTTTCTCCCTGGCCACGAGACTTTGGGCGGGCACCGGGCAGCTCACACAACTAAGACTAACAGAGACTGGTATGTGAGGTCCCTCTTTCATCCGAGTTTCAAGCTGAGTTCATTGCCCTGCACGGTGCAAGTCTGACGGGTGCTCGGCAAGGCAGATTGCCGTTGTCTACCAGACTGAAGCCCCCGACGTGGAAGTACGGCACTAGCAATCGTGCGACAGCCAGGCATACAACATGATCCCCACAGATGCCATACTTCCACGTCACAGTGGCAGCCGACAGCTAATGATCCCCTGCGTTGTGGAGAAACACGATTGTTCAACCGAGATCGATGGGACATGCCCTAGTGCGGCAGCATCTTTGCTTCCCTGAGGATTGCCAACGGGTCCCACTCTCAGCCGGTCCAAAGCTGTCGTAAAGAAGAACATGAAGATCATGGTAGTAAAGTTGTAGTAGAGTAGTGATAGGAAAAGACATGCCTACACTCTGCATTCCTAATCCCATCGGCAGCTTCCTCACAGCAACAGTATGAGCTTTCACTCGCAGCATGGGGCAGCAACAACAGCATTATCGTCATCATCACCATCGGATCGTCGTCCTCCTCCTCATCATCACCATCATGACCCTCATCACCGTCATCATCATCATCATCATCAGCATCGTCATTATCATCATCGTCATCATCATCATCATCTTCATCATCATTATGTTTCGGCATGGCTGTCTGCAGGTGAATACTCCATCGGTTCTGGTCCACGTCATCTTCATGTTATCATTACTGTTGTTCCTACTTTGCCGTCACTGTCGCGCCGTGTGCTTCCTCATCTGGGAAAACTTCCAACGCGCAAGGCTCATAGTGCATCCGCTTGTCAAGTCTGCATGCTCCCGGCAATTCGAACTTGAGGTGGATCAGCTGTACCCATCGGCAAGGCATGGTGCCTCAACCGTTCACCTCAGAGGGTGCTCAAAGATCTTCGCAGTCTGGCATCTGATCTTCGGCATCCTGTGCAGGTTCACGAGCCCTACTTGATTCAGGGCCTGGCAACTGTCCTTCAAGTCACCCCAGCCCAGGCACTACGAGGGTGTGCAGCCACAAATTGCGAGTGGAACCGCTGCTTCTAGCAGCACAGGTCTTCCTTCGCTCGTTCTCCCGGCGGCTGTCTAAGTCAAGGTTCCTGCCTGCTGAGCCCAAAGTAAAGCGACCGAGCACCTTTGAAAATCTGAAGGCGCCTTGCCAGGCGACTGCGGCGCGCTCAGCAGATTGGGTTGCGCGAAACCCTCACTTCGCCGATCCATCATTGCTCGGCTGGCTTCCCATGGATCCCTCCGTGCAAGGTCGGAGCTGCCCAAGTGCAACATCGATTTTGCTCGGGTCCGAGCGCGGCTTCTGCACCTCTCCCTGTTTCGGGAGGGCCTGAGACATGTCAGGACTTAGGGCCCAGATCGGTCGCTGGCTCCCACCAGATCACATCTGCACGAGGTGATCGAAGTCCGCCCAAGCGATGATGCCCTGCGCTTAAAGAACAGTTGGTTTGTGCCGCATTCTGTGCGGCCCGATTGACGGAGCGGAGATTGCAGCAACCGTTTGCGGTACGATATGGTAGTTTGGTATTTGGTCTTCATGGCTGTGGCCCAAAGCCGGAGGCCATGGCCATTTCGCAGCGGGTTGCGGAATTCAGTGGGCTCGCAGCCCAGCTCAGCTCATCTTCCAGGGGCTGCTTCCCTTGAATGTGGGCCCTCACTCCCCAAAGAAAGTTCTTCCGGTCACTGTGCCTTTCCATGCGGCGCAGTCATCAGAGCTTTCTCTTTGCGTTTGCCTAGGTCATCAGCCCTGTACACACAGTTCGAGCAATCTGTGCAGCAGGCATGAGCTTCTAGGAGCTTCTTGACGAAGTTGCTTTTCCTGACGAGTGCCCGACGAGGAGCTGGAAGGGGCTGGACTGGACACGCCCAGCTGCTTCAGTACTGTCGTCCGAGATTAGCCGGAGAGCGCTCTCTGAATCGTTGCCCGGTTGGTCCACGTGCTGCCTGCTCGTTCTTATTATTCTTGCCCAATGCCAGGAGATGGCAAAGTCGCAGTTGCAAACGTCGAGGCCACCCGTCAAGAGACACAATCACGATGTGGCCTTGCGCAGGATCAAGAGGTTGAGGCAGCAGGTGAACACGTCAGCCCACACTTTACTGAGATTTCGACGGGAGTTTTAAAGGCGAAACTGCGATTGACTGACGATGTTTGATTGAACCATATCCTCCTCACTCAAGCCATGAAGTAGCTTTGCCCTCACCTGAGGTTGTTGACAATTTCGCGCTTCCCGAGTCGGTTTGGCTGGCCCTGTGCTCACAGCTTCTTACCTGGGCCTTGTGCCCACAGCTTCCTCTCTTGCTCAGGCTGACTCAGAATGGAGTCCGGGCCTTACGAGTGGCTCTCACAAGGGGCCCTCGAATGCCCTCGACATGCTACCAAGAGAAGGCAGGAGAAGGCGAATCGCAGCGAAGAGAGTCATTCTACGGCAGCAATCGAAGACAGTAATCGCGCTGGACAATGCTGACAGCGTCGCCCTCGGAGTCGCAGTCGTCGCCATCACCATGATAGTAACAGTACATGTGGTAGTCGTCCTCGGAGTAATTCAGTCGTGGTAGCAGTAGTCGCAGCAGCAGCAGCAGCATTAGCAGTATCAACACCTGCACCCAGAGGCCAGTGCCGCGATCAGTGCAGTGCCGAGTCGATCCAGACCAGAAGCTGCTGGCCTAGTGGGGCTCGAGATTTCTCCCGGTGTTCTGCTGTTGAATGGTTCGGATTGGTGGGACCGGAACCATCACCTCCGGGAAACAAGCACATGTTCAGGACGGAATGATCTGGATGTAAGCTAACGTTTCAAATGCACTGTGATCGCTGCGAAGCTCGGACTTCACAGCTCGATCTCCGAAGTGTCGGAAGCGACGGCCGTAGTGGGGATGACTGTTGGGGAAGCCGTGATCCCGGGTTGCGGTCTTGCCGTTAGGTCTCATCTGCAGCACTGGCAACGAGTTCGCGTGCAACTTATCAGGCGGTCCCCTCTGAAAGAAACGCAAGCTGCCGACATGTTCGCTCGAACATCCAGGATAGGCGTTGCACAGATGCGAAGTATGCGCATGCAATGCGAATTTACGTGTAGAAATTCATGTTATGCACATTCGTACACAGGCAGAAGCCCTCTTCAAAGATATAAGCATCGTGCATTCGGGAGATTATTTTGGGTCAGGCGTACGGCCTTCGACAGAGCGGCCTTGCGAGGACTGGACGTTGGACGAAGGGGGTGCGGGGACGCTCTTTCTTGGATCTCCCATTGGCTCGGTATGTCGTTTGCCTGTCAGAACTTCGAGAACTGCGCCTTCGAATGGGCATGCCCACTCGGAGGGCCCTCTGGCGACTTGGCCAGGGACCGAGCTCCAGCAGCTTAGCAGACACGCTACAGTCATGCAGCGGCCCTGATGAAACCACGGGTAGATAGAATAGCGGCGGAACATGACAAGATCCCTCGATTGAAAGTTGCAAAGCAGGCGAAGGTTGCTTCCAGCTCAGTAAAGCCCTGGATCTGCAAGTTGAGGAATGTCACGTGCAGATCCTCCTGCTTGTGGGCCCTCTCTTCAAGTTTGTCGAACGCAAAAGCTGGGAGTTTAAGGCTGTGAAGGTCTATGAAGTGTAGTGTAGCAGAGAAGTTTGAATAAAACGGGCATGCGGGTTGCGATCCGAGCTTTGAGGCGTTTGCAAGGGTCCGATACTCCGAGTTAGGGCAAACCATGGCCAGGCATTATACTTGCTGGGCTGCTCGCCCTTTGGTGCTGCTGCTGCCTCGCCTATCGTGCGGGCCCGAGTTGTCCATGTCATATCCGGCCAAGGATGGCCAACGTATTTCGGCACTGGCAACTGATGTGTTTGACCGACTCCCTTCGCCCTGGGGCCACTGTCTAGTCCCTGCTCTTGACCTCTTGCCCGAGCCTTTCGTCGAAGCGCTGCCAAAACATCCGGAGCTGGCCTTGAGCAGCGCGGTCCATGTTTGCGGCATCGGCCGGAGGCACACTCTTGCAAGATCAGTATGCCAGGGCACTGCGAAAGCAAACGATCCACAGAGGCGAAATCACATGAAATTACAGATTGACTAAGACGATCGCAATATGTCGCAACGCTTGTCTGGAAGTACCTGGAGTTTTCCGCCGATCTGAACATATCTGAAGGTTCCTGAGCTGAAGAACAGAAAGAGAGCGAGAGCAGAGAGGAATTCGGCCGGAAAGCCTGGTGGTTTTGACTTGTCCGGACCTGCCGAGGTTTTGCTCGTGCCTTCAGGCCTGGAATGCCAAAGCCACGATGGCTTTGGTATCATAGCCGTCATAAACATAAAGCTTGGTACGGGAGCATTGTTCCGAACAAGGATGTGCAGCAGAGTCAAAAGCCAAGGCGAACCACAGAATACTTCCGTCTGGCATTTCCAGCAAGGTCGTACCTGTGGTCGCGTCAGTTAAGATTCCTGGTGGGACTTAGGAAGGTGATGCTTCTGCATCATGTCGGGCTACGATGGTCCGGCTTGCCTCCTGCACTACCTGTACTTCGTAAAGCATGTGTGAGGCTCCTCCAACAACAAGATCAACAGCCGACGGAGCTATTACCGGACTCTTTTTCAGACTTGATGTTGTTGAGTTTGATATATAATCCACAGTAACAGGCAGTTTTGCATCCTTGTGATGAAACCCTGCTTTCAGCATCCTCCAACAAGTGGAATCCTAGCTGAGCCTGTTGGGAAGCCGACAATGATCTGCTTTGGTGCTCCTTCACTGGCTTTAGTTTCTGTCTGCCAAGCTAAGCTTCTGTCGCTGCTGCTGACCGACTGCGCCAATTCCGCCATCTGCAGGCCCATCGCAGGTCAGTTGAAGCTGATGACCCCAAAGGGGGATGCCATGCAGGCTGGGACTTCCATTGAAAACTGTTGTATGCCTTGGCCGTAACTCGGAGCTCATCAGGTCAATTTCTACATCGTCGAGGAGAGCAGGGGCCTCGGCCCCCGGGGTTACGGCGTGCTCTCGTAGAGTCTGAGTCCCGCAATTTGCATGCGGAGGGTGGCGATCTCGGCTGCTAAGGCGCCAAGAGAGCTTATTCGCGTTTTGTCGAGGGGTATCTGCCGGAAATCTCTTTCATTCCTTGTTGAAATTGTCCGACTCCGAGACGACTTCTTTTAGCTCCCGCCCGTTTTGTCTCATCCTTTTCTTGGAGCAGCCTGGTTGGAACATGCTGACCGAACAGGGCCCGCTTGGGATGCCACACTGAACAATTGAGGCTCGCAACCAGTGAGCCATTCAACAACACTCTTTGCAGACTTTGGAACCCGACTGGGCTCATTAAAATCCTGTGTCGAGCCTCAGATCAATCTTGAAGCATGGGGTCCCCACACACAACGGAATTGGTGATTTCCCCACATGCGACAGCAAGATCAGCTGTGAGACTATAGGAGCACTGCAGGCGAGGCCCGTGTGGACAAGACAAGGACTACCCAAACACAGGACATTGGAGCTGTTTGCACAGAGTCCGCTGTTGTTCCAGGAATTCTGAGGATTTGCACGCCCATGCAGCGAGACTTTCAGCTTGGAGTTGGACTGACCAAGCCAGCAAATGTCTGTCTTCCGGTCCAGGACTCATCAGCGACTGCCTCGAACGCGTTTCTGGGGAGAGCATTGTCGAAAGTGAGCAGCAGAACTTCGCAGAAGGAAGTCAAGTCTCACGTGGCGGGAAGCTCAGGTCCAGACTTGGAAAACTGATGCTGAGGGTTATAGAGGGCCGTACAGTTACTGTACCGAAATTGTCCGATGTTTGCACGATGGACCACAGCTTGAATGTTCCACCTGTCCCCAGAGCTCGAAAGCAAGGTCTGGGATGTGGATGTCGAAAAGGCCAAAACGCCAGTCTCTCAGGCAAGTGGTGAATGTGCGCCGTGCGATGCAATGCGGAAACAGTAAGTCCATTCATGAGCTCGCAGCTTGCACCCCGCAACGGAGTCTGCTATGCGGCTAAGCACAAGAAAGCACATGAAAGCGCTTGTGAAGCCGAGAAGACTCTTAAGTGAGCTTAAGTGGCTCTTTAAGCCTAACGGCCTAACGATGCGCAAGGAGGCTCCCAAGCCGGGCAGCAACCAAGGATGGAGTTCCACGGGGGCAAGATGACGAAGCTTCAGAAGATGACAGGTACCAAAGGGTTTTAAGCGGTTCTGAGCCTGGAAACTGGCAGTCCCGAGTGTTCCTACGTTGCTTGTCCACCTTTCATCAGTGCAGTCATGGTATAGTGCTGTTTCGAGGAGCTAACCCATCACAGCACGAAGTTCTCCAGTGGGCATCCAAGCCAATCTTTTGCTTATCAGCGTGGCGGTCCGTGTCGCTGAACGTGCTTGGCGATGATTGCGAAAACTTGCTCTTGAACGCTTTCAGCATCCCTGGGTTGAGAGAGGCCAGGCCGGATCTTAGCAAAGCATGGCAGACCACGCCCACCAAGCCGCCCGTAGAGCCCGATGCTGACTTTTCCAGCTCTTGGTCTCTTGAGTCTTGGTGGCCCCCGTCTAGAGTCCAGCAGCCCAGCATAGCCTAGCCTGGTCCAGTTGGCTGAGGCGCCTTCCTGAAGTACTCGACATGACGCAGCAGGAGCGGCGCCTTCGAATCTATGATGCTGCTCAGATTTTTAAACGCACGAATATCCAAGATGCTGCGGCAGGATCAGTACAGGACGAAGCAGATGCTGCGCGAGCAGGAGGAGGATCACGCTGTGGCAGTTCTTGAAGTTGGATTCTATGTCCAGTCTCATTGAACTAGCGATATCGAGCGAACCTTGAAAGCTAACGCGATCGTCGCCACTCAACGGCTGGCATGGCATGGCTGCTGGCCAGGAAGCGATCAGAAGAGCCGAAACGACTGCTCACACGGAAGAGGTCCTGTGGGCTGAGGGCTGAGGTCACTGCCGTGCATGTCTTGAGTTGCAAGCCGTCTTGGCAGGAGCGCCCCGTGGCGAAGATCATGTCAGTAAAGAGTGGCATTTCAGCTTCGCAGATGGAGGCAGCACTTGGCAGGATCCCCAGAGCACAGGGACGTGCGCATAGTGGCCTTTTTAGAGGGAGCTCAAGCTGTGAGGCATTGGACCTTACATGAAGGAAGAACGCGTGGTAGCCCAGAGCCGAAGGAAGGGAGCCGCCAGTATCGCCAGTCGGCGCCCATCGCATCGCAAGGAGTGGAGTACTGGTCAGCCACGCACTGCAAGCGCCAGCCTTAGCGGGAATAGCGCAAGACGGCGCAAGCTAAATGTTGCAAGAGCTGGTAGAGTGGCATTCTAGAACTGTGCACTCTGCCTCCTGGTCCTTTGCTGTCAGTCTGAGGTGGGTGGCAGCATTCGCGGAAGCTCATGGCTCCCATCCCAGCTCAGGACTCAGGCAAGCGTTAGAGCTGCACGGGACGTGGACAGCAGGGATATTGGCAACGAATGTCTTGCTTGGTAAAGCACAACAACCTTAACGCCTTATAGAGGTTTAAAGTGCCCTAAAGGAGCCCTTAAAGAAATCCTTAAACAGATCGCATGTCGATCCGAGGCACAGGCTCCATCTGCTATGAGATCAAGCTGGCAGGGAGCATGCAGCCACGCCGACTGTGTTTTGTGGGACATGGGGGTGACGACGGTTAACATGGGTCGAGACTTCGCTGATACTTTTTCGACCGAGGTATCTTACATTATCTTACCAGAACTTCAGTTTAGCTGACTTGACCAGATAGTTTCAGTGTGAACGCGGCGATCAGGAGGGAGCCGCGGGACGCGAACCGGTTTTGCCGCTCAGGCATTGCAATACAATTTTGTGAAGGCAGACGGCGACACCGCCATTTCCCATGAATTACCAGCCAGGAAGCGGCTGCATGTTCCGCTCGAGAATCTGCGGTCGCCGATTCTGATGGGGGAGTCGCTTGGCCTCGAAATCTGCCGGCAGATGAAGTATAAATGCGACTGGCTAGGCGACCCATTGCGATTGTGCCGCATCTGGCGCAGGGAAGCAAACTGGTTGCTACTGAACGGCACGCTAAAATATATTATGCAGCGGCCATGTCTGAACCTTGGGAAGGCCGGTTTCCGCGTGGTCCTCGAAGGATTGCCGCTGGCGAGAGCCTCAGACTCACGCTTTTGGCTCTCGGCGCAAGGTCATCTCATAAGGGAGCCCCTGGTGACTAAGTCTAAGTGGCAGTGAACCTGACGGCCAAGGCATCTCGGCGAGGCGGGTCGAGCAGCGAGGAGCTTAGAGTTCGAGCCGGGCGCTGCCTTCTCTTTTTGGCCTCGTGGCGGCCACTGGGAGCTCTCGCAGCCTCAGGTCACAGCAGTGGCCTACAAGGTCATAACGGCAGACCTGGCCAAGAAGGCCGCCTATCCGTAAGCGCCTCTGATGCTTGGTAAGCGGGGCCCAACGGAGCGGTGAACTCGGGCACTGCACGCATCTCCTACGGAGAAATTACAGTTACAAGAAATCGCAGTTTCCGCCAGACGGCAAAATTCATGGCCTGAAGAGGACCCCGTCTTCGACAACTTGCAGCCACACTTTGTGTGGCCAGCAGCCCGGTGTCTGGGAACTCCTGTCAGATTCACTCTGGTGTAGATTCGAATCCGTCGCTGCATGCCACAACGCTTGAGTGGAGCTCCCGGGTGGTCTCCTTGTCCAGGTCTGGCTCGGTGTAGAGCGTCAGCTCTTTTCTGAAGTCCTTGTGACGTCTCAGGCGCCGCTTCGAGGAAGGAATGCCCGTGGAAGTCTACAGGAATCCCACGCTAGGCCGCTGGTCTTTCGGCTTTGCGGGGCAGTGGGGAGCCGCAGCAGCGCGGGGGCTTGCAACATGTTTTGAGTCAGCTGACCTTCACCCGAACGTGGGCACCCCTTGCCAGAGAATGATTGCGGCAGTCAATCGCCATTGAGGCTGGGTTTCAGCGAAGGTGGTTAGAGATGCTTGCAACTCAGAGACCCGATGCATGCAATGAAGCATCCACCGCAGTTGTGCGGAAGCTCCGTTTGCACTCTAGAGTGGACGGTGAATGGTCCAGTAAGGCTGAGATGGCTGACAAACCCTACGAGGCATCAACTGCCTACTGTTGGGATCTGCGTGGTTCGGCCTCCGGACTACCATGCATCGGTCAGTCTCCCCCAGCACTCAGTCAGGATGCTGATTTTCTGCCGCATCGTGCCTTGCCCTGCTGTCCCGTACAGAAACCCGCTGTCCAGGAAGCTACAGACAAAGGACGGCCTCCAAACTGGCGTGTTCCCCAGAGCTGCGGTAGTAGTTTCCGAGAATGCAACGGTCACCAGCTTTGCTGCGAAATTAGGGTCGTGTGAAAGACAGAGAGAGCAGCTTAAGGTTTCCTGTGCTCGTGGAGTACACAGACTCGGGGATGAAGGAGGATGTCGGGACCTCACAAAGCTGCATGTGCAAGCGCCTGGTCGTGTTAGCCTTTCTTTCATTATGGCTAAGCCTGAAAATATGAATCCTTGCAAACGAAAATTTTGCATGGGACTGTGTGCGCCGAAGCAAGCGGAAGCACTGCGGAAGCAATCGGTCCGCGGAAGGTCCACCCTAAGATATGTCATGCCGCAGATATCCTGCGTTTGGCCCTGACAGCAACATGTGCCCGAAGAAGGAGAAATGATGATGCAAACCCTGAGCCGTACCTCAAACTCTAAACCCTAAACCAAAGTCATTTCAGAAGCCTAGATCCACAAGCCCCAGGCCGAAGTCCCCAGACCACCAGCAAGAACTTGTGTGTGACCATAGACCTGCGTCTTAATGGCTGTATCTGTGCTTTTCGATGCATAGTGGGCAAAGATATTGCCTTCAATTCTGGGAGATGCCAGCAAGATTCAGAGTCATCCTTTTGAGAAGCATGCTCCTCATCAGCATCACCACCAGGCTTATTCTTATCAGGTTCTTGCCACGTCCATCTACGTGTTCATGGGAAAAGTCATGTGGATAAGAGGAATAGCACTTCAGCGTTGTCGTGATGATGATGATCATCACCGGTTCTAACGTTTTCAGGATGTTAGGGGACGTGCGCGGAAGGTCTGCAGAAGCTCCGCGGAAGGTGGACCCCTGGAAGTCATCGCGATAGTTTCGTTCCAGCGAAAGCAGAATTTCTGCAAGCCCAAAGCCAGCAACATTGCACACACACACACAATATGTCATACCCAAAGCAACAACACTTTCACTTTTCGTAGTCTTCACCTGCAGACAGACAGACAATACATGCACATGCACTATTGCAGCCCACATGGCCCCGACACAGAAGCCTTGGTCAAAGCTTTCAGCACGTCGGAAGAAGGAGATCGTGTAACAAGTCCAGCCCCATGCTCCATCTTCTTCTGAAGCCAGGGGTTGCTATCGGACTTGCAAGTTGGATTGGAAACCGAAGCCCAAAGCCACTTCCAAGTCTCTTCAGATGTGCTTGCTTGTGTCTTCGCGCGCTTCAACATTTCAAACGTTTCGCCTATAATAGAGTTTGAACCTATACGCGTGGTTTGCCTCAGCAAACAGGCTCCTCAAGTCTTAAGCCCGCATTTGCGGAAGCAAACCCCGCAAACTCAGCGAAACAACCGTTGCGGAAGAGAGCCGCGGAAGCGATGAAAGTTGAGGCGGCGGAAGCTAATCCTAAGCGCGCAGAAGCAAGCAGAAGGATCCTGCGGAAGGGTTTCCTTATTTCTCTGGGGAAGGGTTTCCTTATTTCTCTCCACAAACAGGGATAAAAACCGCAGCTCTGGTGACGTCACAAGGCAGAAACCGCGGTGCACAATCGGCGCGCTATTCTATAATTGACTTCCAATTGATTGCCATCTCAGGTTCCAGCATACCTTCTTCGTCGGGAGTGCATGCTTGGTGCCAAGTCAATGACCAGCTTGTGCTCTTGTCGACAACTTGCGCCGTGTTCTCTCAGGTCCCTGTAATGTGAGATCATAGTCGTGAGCGTGCAGCTCGCCAACCTCGGAGAAGTCCGGTTCTTTAGGTACAATCGAGCTCGTTGCTTTCGTTTGCATTCGCAGCCTGCTCAAACGTCATTCTCTTTTGGGGAGATTCCTCTGCAGAGCCAATGTGCTTTGCTAATTGCCTGCAGACCACATCGCGGGCACACAGATAATGCTTCGTGTCACACCTTCAAGGCAAGGTGTTCATGAAAATGAGGGTTCTTCCGTGCATGTTGTATTACAGAGGTTATGGACCTGTTATGGTACTTGCAGAAGTTTTCATGCGCTCGGCAAGCCACTACTTCCTTCGAGATCATGCTCAAAGCAATCGTAAAACTGATCTACCAAAATTCCGGTTTGAAAAAGCCAGTGTGTCTGGAGTACTTCTCTGAACATCGAGTATCGAAGTTTGTGGTTTTCCATCCGAAGGCCAAACCAAGCATGGGACTGTGTCTTGCAGCGGGAGCAGGTGAGAAACACACCAAAAACTGAATGCCATTGTGACTACGACTACTACTTTACTACGACGACGACG